GGGCGGGGCGGGGCGGGGCGCGCCGTGCGGCCGCCCTGGGTCCCTGCGCTGTTCGGTCCCCGCGCCCCGAGCGACGGGAAGGGTCCAGGCCAAACGCGTTACCTACGTAGCACGCAATGGACATGCGTCTGCGTGTGTCGCTGGCCTATACTTATACAGTGGCTGGCCACGTGCATGGAGTCGTGATCCCACTTCCAAAAGCCTCTCAGGCCCCGGGCACACATTACCTACGTGGCGTGGGGTGGCTCGGGTGTGCGATAAATGGGAGGCAGCCACACGTGCCGAGTTATAATGCCACCCCCAGAAGCCTCGTAGGCATCCTGCACGTTACATACATGGTGTGCTTGGCGGCTCAGGTGCCGCCAACATAAGGCAGCCACATAGACAGAGGCACGAGACCGCCAGAGCCAGCCCACCACAGCGTTGGGGCTCGGAAAGGAGCAGCTCAACGGCTGGTTTCTGGCCGGGTCGACTGGGCCGTGGGGGCATGGCCTGGTGCCAAGTACTGCCAGCTGTCACCCACAGGGTTCAGTGGGGGCTGAGCCTGCCTGGAGCCGGGGCTGGGCTGGATGCGTCTCAAAGCGGCTTCTAGCCCAGCTTCCCTGCGACTCCTGGGACAACTCCTAGCGTCTGGATCACCAAGCGTCTCAGTCCCCAGCAACTCGCAGGGGCCACCCACAGACCTAGGCTGAGGTCTCCAGCTGCTCAGGGCGCAATGCAGCTGACTTTGGGTCTGGGCCCATGCCCACAACACATCAGGTCCCCACAGACACTTGGGTCCAGACATCCACCCCCCCGGACTGCGCTCAGCACCAGGCAAGACATCGGCACTGGAGGCCAAGCTCCCTTGTCCCGGGTGCTCGAGCGGGATCTGGCACTCCCGGAGGGCAGGGGGGAGGCCCCGACAGCCTACGGTGGCATTCGGACATGTTGCCACCTCCCAGCTCTCCTGGCATCACTTGTGGGGCCACTACAGGGCACTGGGGACAAACAGGGCACCCACGCTTCGTCAGTGACCGTGGAGGCACAACGCAGGAATGAGGGGCACTGCCCAAACACTGTGGGGGCTGCACATCAGGAGTGAGGAGCACCACTGGTTGTGGGCGAGTGAGGGGCACTGGGAAGCAGGAGGATTTTCCTGCTGCCATTCTCAAACGGGAGGGTCTCGTCTCCAACCCCAAGTTCACACCCAGCTCCAAATACTTTCCCACTTACTCCAGTGCAGACCGTTTGCCCCACAGAATCACCCTGCTGTGGTGCTGGGCACTGGAAGTGACACTAGAAGTCACAGCTAGTCCAAGCCCTGCCTGAGGCAGGATCAGCCCTGGCCAAACCAGCCCTGATGTATCCATTGTCCAATCTCTGAGCAAAGGCACCAACTCAGCCCTGACACAGCACCAAACCTCACCCCTGCCCCTGCCCCTGTCCCAGGGCAAGTGGGGGATCACAGCAGCCACTGTCCTGTGGCTGCAGAGAGATCAACAGATGCTCCAGGGACCCCAGGCCCAGACTGTGCCCCCACAGCAGAGGAAGGTAAAGCCCTCCAGTCTAGACGAGTGGAAATCCCTTCCTGCCCCCAGTGCAGCGTTGATCTGAGCCTAAGCAGAGGGGCAAGACCCTCTAGCCAGCACCCTTCAGCTTTGGTCCTAGCAGAAGCATTGGCACAGCCCCATCACCAGTCCCAGCCTAGGCTGCACTCAGAGCCTCGGACGGAGGCTTCAGATGCCCCTGGCACAGGTATCAGCAGCATGAGGGGAGATGGCCCTGGACCCAAGCGGGCACCAACGACAGGAAATGACGCAGAAAAGCTGGGCTGGCAAGAACTGCATAAGGCTTTGTCCTATCCATTGGTGTCAGGGTTTCCCACACAGAAGTGCCTGGGCTCTGCTGGTGCCACAGGACAGCCCTGGGCCCAACCCTGGCTGGGCAGACCCAGCCTCCAAGAGCCCGGCAGCTACATGTGGTTAAGGCCTCCCTGCGAAGCACCTCCAGGGCTGATGAGCAGCAGGGACCAGAGACCCTTCGCTTGCCCCTGGCTTGCACCTTGCAGACCTCCGTGAGAGGTCTCAGCAGGCCAGATGTATGGCTCCTAGCCTGGGTGAATGCCGCGCCACATGGCCTTCACCTTGGGGTCAGCCATGCCATGTGGCTGCATTCAGGGCAGGGGCCAGCACACGAGGTGCTGAGGACATGTCACCTGTCAACACACAACACCGCATGTCACTCACGTGAGATGCACACAGGCAGCTACCACAAACCAAGACCTCCATAGTGAGCCAAGAGGCTTGTCCTCCCCAGGCAGCACTGATGCCCACTTGCTCTGCAGCGACCTCCTAAACCACTTCAACATGGCACCCGCTGCCCCATTAGGACGAGGCCTCTCCAAGGAACTCATCCCCGGGCTTGTGGGATGGGATGCTGCTCTGATCTCATGCCCGTGGCTTCCCCCCAGGCCCAGAGACACTGCTTGGGAACTGCAGGTCATTCTAAGCGGGAGGGGGCCTATTTGTGCACCTAAAAGTCATGTCTTTGGGGTGGTTAAATGCAGCTCACTCACCTGTTTCCACTATACCTTCTCCCAGCTGCGTCAGGATGCTCAGTGCCTCATGGCTCCCATTTCATTCCTGCTGCCGGGGATGGAAAGCCACAGCTCTGGCTGCCGCCTGGATGGTCTTTGTCTGGCCCAGTACTTGGCCATCACCATGGCCATCGTTTAGCTGCAGGCACCTGCCTCGGGCAACGTGCTCCATCTCTGTCAGCATCATGGGACAGTGCCATGTGCATCACTCCTGCCACCGACACCCCAGGCCACAGAAACGGAGCAGGGCCCCTGCAGCTGCAAAGTGGTTCCTGCATTCAACAGACTCTTTCGACCACATGCAGGCCTTGGCAACTCTCTTCCCCTCTCTGCCTTGCTTTCCCTGTCTGTGAATAGAGAGGTAACAACACCCAGGGCTGAGAAACGGGACACACTATAGACGGAGGTAAGCAATTATTTTGGGCAGAGGGCTGCTTACTGAGTTCTGGCAAGCTGTTGAGGGCTGCATGGGTAGCCCCGCCCCTTAACAGGTGCCCCGCCCCCTGGTCACCATCTTGGGACCAGAAGTCCCACTCCTAACCCCTGACCTTTGCCACTGGAAGTCCCTTCACTTACCCCCGCAAGGGGTTTTTCCATCTCAGGACCAGAAAAATACCAAATTATATTCTAAAAAATGAACATCTACAACATTCATTAATTTGACTTTAAAAAATATTTTTTCCCAGGTTTACATGCGTTTGTGTGGTGCACATAGAGGTGATCGCACAACAGCTTAAAATGAAGTCTTATGCTTGTTTGTTGTGGAGGGTGGGTGTATGGGGTGTGGGTGGGTATGGGGTTTGTAGGGGCATGTGTATGCAGGGAGGGTGGCTGGGCTATGTGAGGAGGTGTGGATGTGGGGGTCTGTGTTTATTGTCGACCGAGGGGGCTGTGGGTGCATGTGTATGGTGGGGTGTACATGTGGAGCTTGCC